ACACACACACACACACACACACACACACACACACACACACACACACACACACAGAGAGAGAGAGAGAGAGAGAGAGAGAGAGAGAGAGAGAGAGAGAGAGAGAGAACTGAATGTCTGAAGTCTTAAAAGGGGTCTACAATATAAGCCTAAACTTCTTTCAAATCTTTTTAATTGATGTGCATCCCAGTCCAGGAGAAGGAGCTTTAATGTCCTTAATGCAGGTACTGGGGACACCTTCAAAGGGAATTCTCCAGCAGATTGAAAATCCAGAACACATTTACAACAGCAGATGTGATTGTCAGAGACTCAGCTCTTTATATGCAATTCTTTTTAATACAAACATGCCTCCAAGGCGCAAAAAAAAAATTATTTGCTGCGAACTCTGCATAGGCACCAGAAAGGGCATTGGCCAGTAAACGCTCAGCTCCATCTAGTCACCCTGACTCTACCCTGAATTAAGTGATTTACAGGGTCATAAAAAGGGAGCCACAATGTTCTTCTTCTGCCTGGACCTCGTTTGCCTTCAATCTTTCCCTGGAGGATTAAATGGAGTATGCCATATTTTTCTGGGTGTCGCATCTCTTGTCCGAAATATTCTAATTTTTGTTTTTTAATTGTTTTGATGATTTCCCTTGGCTTTCCCAGGCGGCTTATCCCTTCATTTCTGATCTTGTCAACCCAGCTTATACGTAACAGCTGCCTGTAAATCTACATTTCAAATGCTTCTAGTCTCTTTAGGTGGCCTTCTGTCAGAGACCAACTCTCTACTCCATAGAGCAGGATAGAAAAAATCAAAATCAAAATGCTTCAAAATCTAAGGGACTGGTTTGGACAAAACTCAGCAGCACTTTTTCGTGCGGCTGCTGATAAAAACAGGATCGCCAACGTCTGATAACGGATATGGCACAAGAAGAAGGAAAAAAAAGGGAGATTTTTTTTTAAAAAATACAAGCACACCATGATCCATCTATTCCATGTTGGTTAGCTTCTCTGCTGCATTTTTCAAGCAGAGTGAGCTGAAAGAGTCAAATTAAAAGCAAGGTTAAATGTCTATGGAGAGTCTCAATCAGTCAGGTCATGATTGTCCCAAAGGTGCTTTTCCAAAAGGTCAATGGACTTTTTTTTTCTTGAAAAAGCTTCTGGAGAAGTGAAGAAACCTCTTGGATGAGAAGTGAAATATCTTCAAGGAAAAAAATTGCCCAGGAAAGTCCAGTTGCCTTTTGGAAAAGCACCTTTGGGACAGTCAAGATTTGACCAACGTAGGGAGAAGGTTTGCTAAATCCATCTGCCTCAAGGATCTTCTCCTAACTGCCATCTATAAAGCTGGATAGTAGATGGTTAGGCTGGTCCTTCAGCCACCAACAGCAATAGGAGGTGAGCTTGACCTTCAAGAATTGTTGAGGGTGGATCAACAGGATCTCTTTTTGGTTTGGGTTTCATGTCAGCTTGGTCTCCCTCACCAGCCAATATGAACTCTTAGTATGGTAATAAATAGGGAGATGAAAGAAGGACAGAAAAAGACAGTTGAGACGATGACTGGATTTTCCAGACCCTGGTAGTAACCAAATATTTGGACAGTGTAACACAAAGTGGATCATTACCTCTCCCTTGGGGAGCATTTTCTGTTCATCCAGTTTAAAAGAAGTACCAATTCTTCTTCTCACAATTGGGGGCTCCTCCCCTGGGTTGAGGGGATACTCTCTCGGCAATTTTCCGGTAAGTTCCTGAAATCACACAGCAAAGTCACAAGTTAATTAGCAGGGCTCTTTGTGAAACCTGCCTCAAATGGACGTTAGCAACCTCAACAACCTTGAATCCATCCTGGTATCCTTCAGGAAATCACTGAGGTATTTGTGAAAGAGGGAAAAGAATATGGCGGTAACCTGCTCACCCAAGTTCTAAGGTATTGCAGTCCTTCATGTGGTGGGGGCAGAGTTGTGTTCAAAAAGTCAAAAGAATGGTTATAACTAAATGATCAGAGATCCACCCCTTTGTGTTTGACTTAAACTCCTAATTTAAAGATCCCACTGAAATAAACTCTAATTGTGAATAAGTACATTTTCCTTCCTTCCTTCCCTCCCTCCCTCTCCTCCTCCATGTCTCTCTCTCTCTCTCTCCTATCTATTTACTTACCTGTTTATCTGTCTGGCAAATTTATATGGTTTAATTTAACTCTAGCTCTCCCATTCTTGACTCACTCTTGATCTAAATCAGGGGTAGTCAACCTTGGCTCTTTTATGACTTGTGGACTTCAATTCCCAGAATTCCTGAGCCAGCTTTCTGGGAGTTGAAGTCCACAAGTCATAAAAGAGCCAAGGTTGACTACCCCTGGTCTTAATCAATTGTTTGCAGCCCCAGAAATGATGGTTGATGTATGATTTCTATAAATTTACATCTACTTTACACCTTAAAAATAATTTACATCTTTCCTAACACTCTCAAGCATTTTGTGATAAGTCACTCTCGTGAAACAATAGCTTCATAAATTTGTTTGCCCTGTGCTCTTTTTCATTCAATGTAAAACAATTGGCTTTATGTCTGATTTGATCAAGTGCTACATTCCAAATTATGTTGGCACAAAGCTAGCTTGGGCAGGATCAGAAGCAAAAGGGCCGAAGACCAGGCTGCTGTATTATGAAAACAATACAGAGGTGCCAACCACTTCTTCTACGAAAAATGAATCATTTACTAGAGTGCCAAGCTGGAGAATAGAGAGAGAACCCAATAAAATCTTCAGTTTAAAAACAGTTTACATTGCCATCGCAACCAAACCCATTTTTTTCCATTGTGGGTGATAGTATATATTTCCACTTGTTCATTTTTCTACACTATCATCATTTGTGTTAACTAATATAACTATACTCTTTCAAGTTGTACGAACAGAGGCATAGAATCAAAATCGTTTGAAGTATTAGTACCACTTTATTAAATCCTTAGAAAGACCACGTCTGGAATATTGCATCCAGTTCTGGTCACCAGATTACAAAAAAAGATGTTGAGACTTTGGAAAACGTGCAGAGAAGAGCAACTAAGACGATGATTAAAGACCGGGCGACTAAAACATACGAAGAAAAGTTGCAGGAACTGGGTATGTCTAATGAAAAGAAGGACCAGGGGTGACATGATAGCAATCTTCCAATATTTGTGGGACTGCCACAAAGAACCTATTTTCCAAAGCATCAGAAGGCAAGACAAGAAACAATGGATGGAAACTAAGCAAGGAGAGAAGCAACCTGGAATTAATGGGAAACTTCCTAACAGTGAGAACAATCTACCAGTGGAACAGCTTGCCTTCAGATGTTGTAGGTGCTCCATCACTGGAGGTTTTTAAGAAGAGACTGGACAGCCACTTGTCTGAAATGGTACAGGGTCTCCTGCTTGAGCAGGGGGTTGGACTAGAAAACCTCCAAGGTCCCTTCCAGCTCTATTCTAATTTAGCTGCATTGAGCTAAAATCCAGTTCTTAAATTCAGAAATTCAAAGGAGCTGAAGTCCTTACACATGCACTGTTCCAATTTTGAAAATACACACCCAAGAGTTATTGGGCCAGCCGTGAGTAAATAATTAATCCTGAACTTGGCCTTTTGTGTACTAAGGCTCCCATCTTTTAAAAGATGCACAGAGGAGTAGTGAAACAATGCCTGGCCTGTTAGCAGCCAGGCTCCTGTAATTTAAGCCGAGCTGGTAACAAACTGAAGCCTGTAGAAACCCGATGCTTGACTGTTGCAAATAGTTGGGGGGCCAGACTTAATTGCCCCTCTCTGAGCCAGCAATTCCCACAGGAAAATCGATGATTTATGGCAGACTAACAAGAGAAGTTTAGAGCAAAATCAGAGGAGGATTAATTTACTTACAGGTTACAAGGGTCGTTTAAGCAAAAATGTTAAGGCATCTCCTTTGGGTGACCTCTGCTAACCTCTTACCCTCTTACTCACACTCTCACACTCTCCAACCCAAGGAGGACTTAAGAAAAAAAAGAAATGACCCCGTGAGGTTCAACTGGTCAAGCGTTTCTGCTGACTTCCTTGTGTTTTTTTTCCCATCCGTTGTTTTGCTCAGAGCTGGGAAGGATTGAGGCAAAAACAAACAGAAGGATCCCGGCTTTTGATAGTGTTGAGTTTAAAGGTGCACCAAGCGTCACAACTGCATCCAGGGGACAGAATTCAGCCTCTGAGAAATAGCAAACCCTGCTCGAGAGAATTCAGGTAGTCCTCGACTTACGACGGTTCATTTAGTGACCGTTCAAAGTTACAACGGCCGTGAAAAAAGTGACTTAGGACCGTTTTTCCACACTTACGACCGTTGAGGCATTCCCCGTGGTCACGTGATCAAAAATTCAGACGTTTGGCAACTGACTCGTATTTAGGACGGTCGCAGTGTCCCCGGGGTCACGTGATCCCATTTTGCGACAAGCCATGTCAATGGGGAAGCCAGATTCACTTAACAACCGTGTTACTAATTCAGTGTTTTCCCCAACTCTGGCAACTTTCAAGGCAGGTGGACTTCAACTCCCAGAATTCCCCAGCCAGCCGGCTAGGGAATTCTGGGAATTAAAGGCCACCTGCCTTAAAGTTGCCAAGGTTGGGAAACACTGTATTAATTTAACAACTTCAGTGATTCCCTTAACAACGGTGGCAAGAAAGGTCGTAAAATGGGGCAAAATTCACTTAATGACTGTCTTGCTTAGCGACAGAGATTTTGGGCTCAATTGTGGTCGTAAGTCAAGGACTACCTGGAAAACATATGCTTCCCTGTCCATGGAAATCTCAGAAGGAACAGAGACGAAAGAAGGAACAGAGACGAAAGAAGATTCTCAGGAATCAGGAGCTCACTGATCCTTTCAGGAAAAAAATTACCTGAGATGAGACAGATAAGATTTCATTTCCATAAGGCGGAGAACTTGCTGAGTTTCACGCTGAAGCAAAATGTAAATTGTCCACACAATCGTTGAAACTAAACATAAATAACCTCCTAATTACATTGGTCTGCAAGTGTAATAAAAATTTAACGACTGCAACTTAGTGAAATGCATATTTAATTAAGGACCTAACTGTTTTTCCCTGCGTCAGCCTAGGCAATTTTGCTTTCTGTTTTAACTCCAGCAGAACCTGCATTTGCTCACCTGTTGGTCCCTTAAGGAGAAAGGTGGGGTGTAAATCAGATAAATTAAAAAAAAAATGGCATCTGCGGTCAGCAAATAAAACTGGATCCACTTCAATTAAATTCCGGCCTGGAGAGCATTAAGAGTCAGATCTGGCCTTTGGTCTCCCTATTTATAGGAGATGAGCCAGGCTGAGCTCAAGGGTGGGGTCAAATGTCTCCTCTCCTACACTATATTTAAATTTTTTAATTTAACTCAATAGTCAAGGGATGGTTCATTCTTTTATCTTCTAGAGAGGAAGAGCTGACTTATTTTATTTTACTCAAATTGTTCGATAGTAGTAACAGAGGGAATTAGGAATAATATCCTATGAAAGGCTTTGTTCGGTACAACTGCCTCTATCTTGCTCCTTAGGGGGTAAGATTAGAAGTGTGGAGTCCTTGGTGCTCTCTGAGCTTGGTTTTCTTGCAGATATTTCATGACCCAACTAGGGAACATCATCAGTGCTTGAACAGAATAGGGCTTGCGAGGAGAAGGAGGAGGACTGTGGGGTCCTTGGTGTGATCTCTGAGCTTGGTGGTTTTCTTGCAGACATTTCATGACCCAACTAGGGAACATCATTAGTGCTAAAAGGGAGTGGGGTTTGCAGGGAGGAGTAGGAGGACTGTGGGGTCCTTGGTGCTCTCTGAGCTGGGTGGTTTTCTTGCAGACGTTTCATGGCCCAACGTCATCCGTGCTAATGATGACCCTAACACGGAATATGTTACCTAGTTTGGTAATGAAACGTCTGCAAGAAAACCACCCAACTCAGAGAGCACCAAAGACCCCTCATTTCAACTCTTGAACTACAAATATTCTCCTTTATTGATTAGAAGCATCTCTCTGCCCTTCAACCCTCTCAATGGATGGACGGATGGAAAGTGATGGGAGTTATCAGATATGGCCAAACTGACCGCTTTAATTAGAGAAAAGAACACATCCAGCTTTGCTTCTACTTGGAAACCACTTCTGGACTTTGTGCTTGAGACAGAAAAAAAAAACCCCACGGCATTGAGTTTTGCTGATTAGCACAATTGGTTGTTACAGAAATGGCTGGTATTTGTTAAATTGGTGAAGTTAAAATATTGAGGTTGCAATTTTATTTTGTAGAAATTTTGTAGCTGAAAAAAGTTGGATCTTTTGTTTTCTTTCCTTCCCTTTCCTTCCTTTACTCTTCTTCCTTCCCTTTCCTTTCTTTCCCTCTTCCTTTCCTTTTCCTTCCCTCTTCCTTTTCTTTCCTCCCTCTTCCTTTCCTTTCTTCTTCCTTCTCTTCCCTCTTCCTTTTCTTTCTTTTCCTTCCCTTCCCTTTCCTTCCCTTCCCCCCTATACCTACACCTCTCTTTCCCCTTCCCCATTTTCCTATCATCCTTATTTTCATCTGGGGTTCAGATCATGATCGTTTTAACAAATCTCTTCAAAAGGGAGCATCTCTGCTGCCGCTGCCTACCGCTTCCCGGAGACACAGCTTCTTCAGTTCCTCCAGGCGTTGCCGCAGGGTCTCCTCCAGGGCTTCCTGTCTGGATTTTAAGGCGGCCAACATGTCTTTTTTGGCAGACTGAGAACTGTCCGACTCTTGAGAACCTGTTGGGGAACAAAGATGGCATTAGGGCAGTTGGCATGTGTCTGCAGCCAGGTGGATGGCTTCTGGACGAGAAGCGGGACAACCAAACCGGACAGGTATTGCATCCACTCATTTGAGCTCTGGTGCCGGAGAAGGCTCCTATGTCTTCTTTCGACAGCAAAGGTGACTAACAAGCAAATACTGGAATGCCTACCATATTTCCCATAAAACGACCCAACCGGAAAATAAGCCCCCCCCTCTATATATATATGGAGAGAGAGAGAGAGAGAGAGAGAGAGAGAGAGAGAGAGAGAGAGAGAGAGAGAGAGAGAGCTGCTGCTTCCTGCGGAGACGCAGCAAAGGCAGGAGCCCCGCCCAATAAGCTTGTCAGCTTGTCGGAGAACAGCATGAGGCCACTCTCTTTTTTACACACACACACACAGAGAGAGAGAGAGAGAGAGAGAGAGAGAGAGAGAGAGAGAGAGAGAGAGAGAGAGAGAGAGAGAGAGAGAGAAGGGAAGCGCAAGTGCCTCTCTCTGTCTCTCTCTCTCTGCAAATGGCGGAGGAGGAGCCGCAGTAGAAGGCTCAAAGAGCCACATGTGGCTCCGGAGCCACGGGTTGCCGACTCGTGTCCTAGCCTGATTTTTCAGGATGCTTGTAATATAAGCCCCACCCCCAAAATAAACCCCAGTTAAGATCATCAGCCAGACGGAGGCATTTAGTTCGTCCGTTGCAACGCACGACGGACGTATTGAATTATAAAACAATCATCTTAATACATAATTAAACATAAGTAAATAATACCATTGACATTATTTATTTGAATAAGTGTAGATTGTTGTGCATGAAAAAAAAATAAGGCATCATCTGAAAATAAGCCCTAATGCGTCTTTTGGAGCAAAAATTAATATAAAACCCGGTCGTATTTTCAGAGAAATATGGTTAATACCAGACATGCCACTGAACGCAAAAATCACAAAACTGCATCTCACTTATTTTGGCCATGTCATGCAAGGGAATTCACTGGAGAAAGCTTGGAAGAGTTAGCCGTAAAAAGAAAACAGGCTGCCAAAGACCACGGTGGCTGGACACCATCAAAGCCGACATCAGCCAGAGCATCCACCGTGGGTCTTCAAACTTGGCCCTTTCAACTTGTGGAGTTGAAGTCCACAAGTCATAAAAGGGCCAAGTTTGAATACCCCTAGCATAGAACAACTCAAAGAAGCATTGCAAAATGGGAAGATGTGGATTCCACTGGCTCATGGAACCGCCTAGAGTTGGGACATAATTGAATGGATAATATCATCCTCAGTTACACCGGTTCCTCACCCATTCATCATATGTGGATTACTAGGAGAAGATATTCTCAATCTGCAATGATGTTAAAATAAATGAGGCTGGAAGATCATGGATCGTGCAAGACCAGACATCTGAAAACTAAGATTTATCGTAGACAGGGACACTCCTAAAGCAGGCCAACCATAATAACCTGCTCTTTTACAGTTTCTCATCAGGAAGTTTGGCTAAGCAGGGTTAGGGGTCTGCAGCTGTATCTCACACAATTATTTTAGCATTCAGCTGGTCACAAGCCTCCATGGCTCTTGACTCAAACTGGGTTCACAGCAGCAAGCTGCACCTGTCACATACCACGCGCGGCGGGGTGTGTGTGTGTGTCAACCTATTTTCCAAAGCACCTGAAGGCCAGATAAGGAATAAAGGATGGAAACTGATCAAGGAGAGATTCAACCTAGAAATAAGGAGAAATCTTCTGACAGTGAGAACAATCAACCAATGGAACAACAGTTTGCCTTCAGATGTTGTGGATGCTTCATCACTGGAAGCTTTCAAGAAGAGATTGGACTGCCATCTGTCAGAAATGGTGTAGGGACTCCTGTTTAGGCGGGGTGGTGTTGGTGTTGGACTAGATGACCTACTAGGTCCCTTCCAACTCTGTTATTCTATTCTATTCTATTCTATTCTATTCTATTCTATTCTATTCTATTCTATTCTATTCTATTCTATTCTATATTCCAATATCTATTCTATTCTATTCTATTCTATTCTATTCTATTCTATTCTATTCTATTCTATTCTATTCCATTCCACTCTACTCTGCATTCTATTCTATTCTACTCTACTCTGCATTCTATTCTATTCTATTCTACTCTACTCTGCATTCTATTCTATTCTATTCTATTCTATTCTATTCTATTCTATTCTATTCTATTCTATTCTATTCTATTCTATTCTACTCTACTCTACTCTACTCTACTCTACACTCTACTCTACTGTACTCTACTCTCTCATTGTGATACAGGACTTGTAAGTAAAATTGCGTTTCCATGACTAGGGAGTCCTTTGAGTGTAGGAGGACAGTCTTGTTGGGTGTGGTCCATGCGGAAAACAAACTGGCGCCCTGAAGCATTCCCACAACAGGAATGTGAGAATCCTGAAGGAGGATAGAGGCGTGTTCCCTGTCAGCAAACATTTTTTTTATTTTCTGAGTTGTGCAGAACGTTTCATGGTTAAAGCGAACATAGGAACATTCCACTTTGAGATAGCAATGCTTCCGGCAGGCTCCAAATAGGAAGCAGGAAAACTGGAAGCACATCAGCAGTCTTCCAGGAAGGTCAGAATTCAGCAAGATGGAGTTGTGATCCTTTGACATCCAAATGTTTTGCACCTCTCTGCCAAACTGACATCAGCAAGATGAAGTTGACCGGGGGCTGATGTGTTTAGCTCTAAATATACTTCTGACTCTTTGATAGGCTCTTACTCACAGCCTCTTCATCTTCCCACTCCATATTCAGAAGTTATTAATTTTGGTCTGTCAGACTCTGTTAGGGTTCCCCAACCGAAGGATTTCAAATTAAAACACCCACCTAAGTTGGCAATGGCTTAAGGATATTATAATACTGAAGAGAAGGCGTTTTTTTTGTCTTGCAAAGGCATATTAGGAGTGGGATAGCACGACACAAGTGGACTCACAAAAAAATCAATGGCTGTAGGCATTCACAAAATTTGATCTGTCAGTTCATTCTCTAAGCTACTGTTTTTCAATCTTGGAAACTTCCAGAGGAATGGATTTCAACTCCCAGAATTCCCCAGCCTGAACAGCTGGCTGGGGAATTCTGGGAACTGACGTTCCACACATCTTAAAGTCACCAAGGTGGAGAAATATTGCCTTGACTTCCCTACACCTCCATTTTTAGACATCTGGATGCACTCCTGAATAAATTTGAGCCATAGTTGTCTGCCACTTTTTATTTTTTAGGGATGATTAGATGGAAAACATATTCCTTTCACTCTGAAAAATAGATGATGCTTCATGGCATTAACATGATTTGTAAACTGACAACTTTCCAAGACTCTAAAAGAAATAAACTCAAACAGGACAAGGCTGGTGGTCAAACCTTGTGCTCATATGCAGCTATAAAATACACAGAATAATCTGTATATTTGTTCTAATAGTCTTGATTTTATTGGAAGGCATCACTTATCAACTGGTTTGCAGCCGGTCAAATGAGGAACGAGAACATTTAGATATAAATATAGATAAAGATAGATAGATAGATAGATAGATAGATAGATAGATAGATAGATAGATAGATAGATAGATAGATAGGATAAAGAGATTGAGAGACAGAGATAGAAACAGCGATATATCTATATGGTAGATTTAAAGGGGGAATATTTGTAATATAAACTTCATTTTTTTGCTTAAAGAAAACTAATGTTTATATTCCCACCCCAAAGTTTCTTAAAACAGAGGTTTTTTGCCACTCATTTTGAGATCAACCAATCCCTAATTTCACTGTAGATTTTACTCTCTCTCTCTCTCTCTCCTCGAAAGAGCTAACAGCTACTGAAGAAAGAATACCAGATAGGATGAGAGGTTTGGATGAAAGAAATATATCTCCGGGGAAGTGGTCAGAACAATAGCCCAGAAAGAAGGAAAAAAATCCCAGCATCAGCCAGATGACATCACTAAAGTCCAGATGTGCAACCCATTGTGGCCTCTTTAATGGAGTTGTTGTCCAAAGACGTGATTTGTACACATCTCACGCCACGCACAATTAATGCAGCAATCCAGGTGCATCCCTTGCACATTTCTAGCTGACCGTGTCAGCTTCCTAACCAAAGTCTAACTGAATAACAAAATAACAGAGTTGGAAGCAACCTTGGAGATCTTCTAGTCCAACCTCCTGCTCAAGCAGGAGAACCCCCATACTGTGTCAGACAAATGTTTGTCCAGTCTCCTCTAAAAAACCTCCAGTTGTGGAGCACCCACAATTTCTAAAGGCAAGCCATTCCACTAGTTTATTGTTGTAATTGTCAGGAAATTCCTTAGTTCTAGGTTGCTTCTCTCCTTGATGAGTTTCCATCCGTTGCTTCTTGTCCTGCCTTCAGGTGCTTTGGAGAATAGCTTGACCCCCTCTTTTTTGTGGCTGCCCCTCAGATACTGGAAGACAGCTATCATATGGGGAACTCATCAAATTTGCAGACGACACCAAGCTGGCAGGAATAGCCAACACTCCAGAAGACAGGCTTAAGATACAGAAGGATCTGGACAGACTTGAACACTGGGCACTATCTAACAAAATGAAATTCAATGGTGAAAAAAGCAAGGTTCTACATTTAGGCAAGAAAAACCAAATGCACAAGTACAGCATAGGTGGNGATGTAAAAAAGATGTTGAGACTCTAGAAAGAGTACAGAGAAGAGCAACAAAGATGATCAGGGGACTGGAGGCTAAAGCATATAAGGAACGGCTGCTGGAATTGGAAATGTCTAGTTTAATGAAGAGAAGGACGAGGGGGGACATGATAGCAGTCTTCCAGTATCTCAGGGGCTGCCCCAAAGAAGAGGGAGTCAAGCTATTCTCCAAAACGCCTGAGGGTAGGACAAGAAGCAACGGATGGAAACTAATCAAGGAGAGAAGCAACCTAGAACTAAGGAGAAACTTCCTGACAGTGAGAACAATTAACCAGTGGAACAACCTGCCTCCAGAAGCGGTGAA